CTGCCGTTCCGCATCTCCTGGATTGCGTCTCTCAACTCATCTTCCGTGAAATCGGGCACCCGGTCTCCGCCGCGCATCTCGCAGGAGGATGCCCTATTGCCCTGTCTTGAAGTAGAATGCTAATCCTCGTAGAACTGCGCGAAGACTTCCGCTATTGTTTCTCTCTTCTCCCACTTCTCAGACACTGCTTTGTCCTGCTCCAGATCCCCGCTCTTGTTTCTCACTTCCGCGATGTGCGTCTTCTTGCTCTTCCCCGCGATGGCGGCCAGACGTTGTCGACCACGGAATTCACCAGGAATTTCTGCGATGTCGTCAACGTGCTGTTGGCTGAGCCTGTAACGAATCAACTTCTGGATGGCTTTTCCCCACCCCACGCGCAATCGCTTCTTCTCCTCTGGCGCCCGGTCTGATGCAGGAAGCTGCCTCCGCAGGTGGATGATCGTGCGGATTTTGACATCCAAGGTAGATGCAAGCGTCTCCGGGTCTTTCGTATTCGAACACGACCTTGTCTTGTCTCGGCCCGCCGCTTCTTTCATGCACCGGTTAATCTCGTCCGTCTTCTCTGCTGCTGAGAGCGCGCCCCGCTGCGCCTCCCGGAGCATAGAGTCGAGCTCTTGGGTGTGCGATTGCCCAGGCACCCACTTGTCACACCTCCGTTTCTTCTGCTTGGGCCGCCTATCCACGACGATGCCCAGATCACGGCGTGCTGGTCTATGATCAAAACCAACATCGACGCTTCCGTCCACAATGCACTGCCGAATGTGCTTCTTCGCACTGACGTCCACGAGTATGTAATCGAGTTGAGACCGGCGATCTGCGCCCCGGAAGGTCCACGCCTCTTCGGAGGCGTTGCGACGAACGAGCTTGCAATAACCATGTCGAGCATCGAACTCCACTGTGAAAGCAGATCCCCCCTTTCGTTCCGGATTGGCATCGGATCACCGCCCGTGAGACGAGGATCATCGCGTTCAGAACGAGGGCCAATCTCTGCATTGAAACCCCCTGCGATTCAAAACCGGTAGCCTCGCAACTGAGCGTCATGATAAAGACTCGCTACTTCGCAGTAGAGTGCTTCAACAAGTTCCTCTTCTTGTTCAGCGCGTGGCATAAAGACCGCAGCAACCCTGGTTACACCGAAGCTGTATATTTATATATCTAGCGTTGCCGCCCTGTCAGACAAAGGCTTGAGACTCCCGTGAACCCAGCGCTGACGAAGTAGAACACCCACTCCTCGCGAGCGTCTGGCGCCGCCGCTGCCGAACCATCTGTGTCCGCGTTTCGCGCCCCACGATTCCACTTTCTGCTCGCGCCATGTCTCCGCGAATACCAATACGTCCCAGCGTTGATTACCAACTCTTCCAAGCAACGCTCATCACGATCATCAAAATTCATCAACGAGTGCACGTTGTACTCATAAGCGGTGAAACTTACGGAATACTTTGCATCCGAACTGTTCTCGCTTTCTGGTGATGGTGTACTTCCCCGGGTACTCCTCGTTCTCCCTGGAAGGAATGTTGCGTCCTAAAGCTTCATCGCCTCCGCGACGGCATCCTTCAGCGTCTTCGCGTCCGCCCCGATACCGGCTTCGGCAAACTTCCCTTCGTGCAGCTCTACATCGCCGTCCTCCCCCCCCTTCCATTCGCCGACTCGAATGCGACCTGCGAGAAGTACCCCTCGCCGGTAGTCGACCCGAACTTTCTCAGGAGCCATGCTGCCTACCTCAATCATCATTCTCTTGTACTTCCCGATATGTCTTTCCGCGGATCCGCTCTTCACGGCTCTTTGAAGAAGATGCCCACGAAGCCTCCCCCTCAAACTCTGGCTTGGGTTTGCTGTTGAACCTGCGAACAAAATCGTATGATAATTTCGGCGCCTGGAACCTTATGAAGCCGACGCTGCCGAAGCTGTAGGCGTAGATCTCCTCGACGCCCTCCACGTTGGTCAGCATCGAGTCTTTGATGAAGTCAATCACCAGGGATTTGTCGGAAACTTGAGGGAAACCTCCAATGACAGCGGTGCGTGCGAACTTGTCCGTATCCTCCACGCGCGCCGAGTCCACGTTCGACTGCTTACCTGGGATTCCCTTCATTGTGTCTGCGACGATCGTCTCAACATCAATCCGGGTTAGCATCTTTCCGCTCATCTCGTTCATCTGATCCTCCACCATGGTCACTTCTCCATCGCTTCCTCCGCCCCCGCATGCGCCAGTCCCGCCTGCATCCTTACTTGTGCGAGCTCGTCCCTGACCTCATGAAGCTCTGCCTTCACTTCCTTGAGGCTCGTCTGCAGGCCTTTCGCCAAACCGACGAGCTGGTTAAGCACCCGGCCCTGGGAGACAGCCCACCCTGGCACCTTCTCGTCCTCACTCCCCTTGCTTCCCTTACTCCCCTTGCTCTCCTCCTCCACGATCGAACTGTCCGCATCATCAACACACGCCAACTCTACCCCCTCGGAGTCCACGTCGATCACGTCTTTGATGGCCCTGGACTTCCTCTCCGTAGTGAGCCCCGTGGATGTCCCAGATCCTGAACGCTTGGATGCTGTTTGTGCCGGCATCGCTCCAGACAGTACAGCGGCTGTTACTGATGGCGAAAAGAGATGTAAGTACAGGGTAGGATGGTGTAATATTTGGTGTAAGAGCGAGATAGCACTTGAGCGAGATAGCACTTGAGCCAAAATGGCTACGGGTGGGTTGACCGGGCCCTCGCGCCGGATCCAAATGTCGCTGCACTTGTGCTGCGAGACGCTGCCCTTGAACCTGGCGCGGTAATGCTCTGGCCCAGCTGCTGGGCCGCACCATTTGACGAACGCGGGTCCTGGCGGCGCAGACGGCGGGGACCTGTCAGGCGCCGCCAGACAATCAAGCTGACCGCCCGTGCGACCCACTTGCACAGCGCAAAGATGGCGCGGAGACTGCGCGCCGCCAGCGCGAGGAGCCCCGTCGCGCTCAGCACGCCATGGGTCGTCGCCGCGATGCGCCAGGCAGCGCCGAAGAGGTGGGCGCCCGCCTGGCCCAGGAAGCACATGACCCACCCACCCTCGGAACTGAGCCACCGGCGGTCCTCCCGAGGGGAGGAGGCGGACGCGCAGCTCCCCGTCGCTTCGAACGACGAGCTACTGATTCCTCCCCAGGTCCAGAAAATTGAACTGCCTTCTGGATTCCAATTCAGGACCCAGACTCCCCAGCCCCCGATCCAAGAGGCCTCCGGGTCCTGGGATCCTGGACCCGTCTAGCCGAACACTGAACACCCAATCCGGCGGCCTGGCCGGCGGCACTGACGGCACGCCTGGCGAAGCATCGCCAAGGTCTTGCCGTGGCCTTGAGTCACCACCCGCGCCGAACTCCATTTGCGGGTCCTCCGGCTTCACGGCGCTGCCGTCGCTGCAAAGCCGGAGCGCGCGTGGGGCTGCTCTGGGGTGCATGCCCAGAAGGTTCCAGGCCACCCGCTGCTGACCGACCCTGCGCCCCATCTTGAAATGGCGCTTCGCGGCTGGCGCGAAAACGGGCCACTCGGCGCCCCCGCGGGGGCCGCCCCCGTCGCGCCGCGCCGCGCCATGGCGCGACCGCGCGCGGCTTCTGGGCCCCGTCCGGGGCCCAGGCCTCTAGGCCATCTGAGGCCGACCCCGGGCTTAGCCAGGAAAGCTGCGAGCCACGTGCGTGGGAGGAAAAGAAAAACACAAAACAAAAACAACGACAAATAATGGACAACCCGCGCAGATCTTGGGGGGCAGTAGATCCAACCATTTTACCAAACATCCTATGTCACCCCCTTCGGTTGCCCCTAGAACAGGGGGGGGGCGGAGGGGGGCAAATGGAAGGTTAGCGAACCGGCTCGCTGCAGCTGGTCTTCCTGGCGCCGACGGCGGCCAGTCGTCGGGGAAAGAGCCTGGCGGCGGGGACGGGACCAGCTGCATGCAGAATATGCTGCCAGCTACGCCACGGAAGTGTAACACACGCACCCACCAGCGATGCTTCCCATTGCCTCCGAGGAGGACGGCAGTGAATGAAGTTGGAGGCTCTCACTTGTGACTCGTACGCTGTCACCTTCCCATGAGGCCCAGGAACAATTATCCACGCTGGCGCTGCTCGCAGGGACGCGACGGCGGGGAACGCGAGTGGCTACGGCCTCCGTTGGGCCCGAGATCTGGCCGACACATGCGCGTCTCCCTGAAACGCCAGCCACAACATCCCCAACAAAATGGACATCCATTGAAATTCTGGCCGGGACACGGGCAGTCGGACCTAGTCCACAAGAACATCCCTGAACAACACGAGACCCTCCGGTGGCCAACACGCATGAAACATCCAAGGGCACCCCCCCAAAGGGCGCACAAGGAAAGTCGACAGACACGAAGAACACCAGGGTCCCCTCCCCGAAGCAACCTCGATCTGATACCTCGCGCGGCCGCATTTGGCGGGTTCCTAAAATCCGGAAAAAACAAATACCCTTACCATCTCGTGGGGAACTGCCTTGTGCTTCCGCCGAGCTTCCGCCGGCTTTCGCTGGCGGAGGCGGCCTCGTTCTACTTTCGCCGCCTTCCGCCGGCCTTCAGCTGCCTTCCGCCGAGGAAGAGATACCAGTTCCTTCGACCCGCGAAGGCGAGGCCCTTTCTGCAACGCCTCATATGTGGCGGCTTCCTGACATCCTGCGTCCAACAAAATTGTAATCGACAGCGCGCAAGGGTGACCCTGGGTTGGAGTGGCCGCTGGTGCGTGGCATTTTTTGGGGGGCGAACGCAAGCGCGCAAGACGCTGCTATCGCATAGCATTATGCCATTTGGAGGCCCCAGCGTGCCCGCACCAACGGTCATTCCGGCGAAAGGTCACTCTTGAGCGTACCCGATGGCATTTCTCGGGAAACACTTCTTACTTCCGCCGGCCTTCCGCCAGAGGAGGCGGCCCCGTTTCGCGCCCGCCGCCCTCCCGCCGCGTTTCCGACGCCGCCCGCCGAGTACGAGACGCCAACATCTCGGCTCCTCCAGAGCAGGGCCCCCTCTGCTACGCCTCGCGTGTAAAAATATGTGCGCGATGACGGGCACCACCCCCCTCTTTCCGCCCGACCCGATAAGCGGACCGCTCCGTCCGCGGGCGTGCCCTGTGTGTGCGTTAGCCTCATGCCTGGCTGCGCCGCCGCCCGCTTCGGGGCACCGGGGCGGCGCAGTGGCGCGCGGCCCGGCCGAGGGCCGGGCCGCCCAAAACAATTCCGCGGAAGGGGGGTGGTCAAGGAGAGGGCGAGCACAAAGTAGACACAGACGATAAGAAACCTTGCCATGCAAGCATCGCGCTACCACAAGCACCGCCGCATAAAGGACGAATGGGGCTCCTCCGGCAACAGCGAGCCTCGGCCACGAGGAGGTTCCCGGACCTAGATCTGAGGAGCGGCCTGATGGCAAGTGCCCCTCCTGAGCCTAACGTGGTTTCGCGTTTGAGCATATCTATGGATGCATGCATGCATGCATGTATGTATACATATACCGTCGGCCCCCTTGCGGGACCATCAGGCTGCGATGATTAAGCTTGCAGCTCCCTGTACCAGTTGCAGCTTCAAATTTCAAATGTTACTGTCCCGCTTTCTGCTTCCATACTGCTAATTGTTGCTGAACGCGCGAGGGGGGGAGCCGAAACGCGTCCTGGTTATAGCGTCCCCGAATCACGTCGTCTGAGTCCTGGGAGGTCGTGGGACACGTAAAAATACATGATATTCGCGTCCCCGGGTTCACAGTCCCTAGTAAGTTACGCCATATTCGCGTCCCCGAGGCCATACACCCTTAGAAAGTGTAGAATATTCGCGTCCCCCAAACCACAATGCCTCGTAATTCTTAAAATGCTCGCGTCCCTGAGACCCCATAAACCTTTGTAAATTATGCAATGCTCGCGCCCCCCAAACCATAAACCTTTCTTGCAATTTACGGAATACTCGCGCACCAGAAACCATAAACCGCAGACATTACTCAATATTCGCGTCCCCAGAGCCACAAACCCTAGCAAATTACACCGTACGTGCGTCCCCGAGGCCACAAGCCCTCGCAAATTATACCAGATTCGCGTCCCCGAGGCCATACACCCTTGTAGATTACATAAGATTTGCGCACCCGAGGCCATAAACCCTGGTAAATTACTCAATCGTTGCGTCACTGAGGCCACAAACCCTTGCACATTACAAAATATTCGCGTCCCCGAAGCCATAAAGCATTTTAATATTGGCCATCGCGTGAAGGCACGACGTTGCTTCACGTCAACGTCCAGACATCCCAAGACAACTCTGGCAAGTCCCATTCTAAGAGAGGGGGGCCAGCGGCATGGGGGCGAAGCCTTTACGAACACACACACACACACACACATATATATATATATATACATACATACATGTGTATATTATATTTATATATGCCGATACATGTATACATTGATACATGCATTTTGTGTATATATGCGTATGTACGTGCGTACGTATGTATGCATGCATGCATGTATGTATGTATGCGCAAATACACATATACATATATGCAGGTGTAAACACTATTGCCATAAGGAGCGGTATCTTGAGTGGCACGATTGCCGTCGAGCCTTCGACTTCCTGCGGTGCCCCAAGGCTCCTGTGCACCTCCAAGGCCATCGGGTGATTAAAAATATCCACGGGGCATCTGCTGGCAGGCGGGTTTCTCACTTGACGTGCCTACTGCACCGCCAGAGAACATAATCAATCATCTTTGAATCGGGAAGACGGGCCGAATCGGGGCGTGTGTCAGATCTGGATGCATCGGCACGGGGTCAGAATCGAATCAGATCGGTCGCGCCAGGTTGCAAAACAACGCCAACCATCGGCCCGATCGATGGAGCATCGGAATCGAGCCAGATCGCGCTAGCCGATGTCGAAATCGAACAGGATCGCTCGGATCGAATTGGACCTTGGGAACCATCCGCAACCGCAATTCGGCCCAAATACTAGTGTACGGCACGGCAAGCACGCGTCGTCGCGACCGCCCAGTGGGTTTCCGACACCGCGCGGACCTAAAGAAACAGAAAACTGCATTACGAACCCCGCAGACTTCTTGGATCGGTACCAGACCCCCCTCCCTGGTAAGCAGAGCTCGCCAGGGGTGCCTAGCGGTGTCGGAGACCGACGCGGTGGTCGCCACGATGCGAGCTTGCCAATTTTCTGATCTTGGAAGATCGTTCAGCCTCGAACGGCCGCGACTTCCCGACCGCGCAGGACCGCTCCATGTTGGTTGACTTCAGCGCCCTGGCTGCGGTCGACCCGCTGTGCCGACGAGGCGCGAACCTGCAAACACCCTGCCAATAAGTCTCCGCAAACCCCAATTCGGGCCGGACCTTGGTGTACATGGCGTCCCTTGCCGGGCATGGAGGCGGTGTATTCGAGAAACAAGAAATGGCATAACATAAAATTGCGAAGGGCCACGCGATGTCCTTTATCGGCGCTGGAGCCGCCAGGCGGCGCCTCCGGCGCGGCAGGGCGCGCAGGAAAGGGGGCCCAATGCCGATCCAAGACATCCGCGCGGACCTCTGGAAGTTTATGTTTGCACTGTTTCTGTGCCTCGACGTATACACCAAAACCTAGCCCCAAGATAGGGGCCTGTCGAAGCTTGGCGGCGGCGGTGGCGTGTAGCTGCCCTCTCTCACAGAGACGGGCGGGGAAAAGGAGGAGGAGGAAGAGGAGGAGGAGGAGGAGGAGGAGGAGGAAGAGCACAGGCCACGCGGGCACAGGCCAAGTCAGCGGCACACGGGTAGGGGAACGCAAACGGCATAGACATACACTTCCGGAGGTCTGTGCGGATTTCTTACATCGGCGGTGGACCCCCTCTGCCTGGCGCGCGGCGCGCGCCAAAGGCGGCGCCTGAGGCGCCGCCCCGGGTTGCCGCAGCCCGACGCAAGAAGTCTGCGCGGATCTCCGAAAATCTATGGTCATGCCGCTGTTGGCTCCTCGAGAACGAGACGCGTGGGCGAGCAGGCAGAGCCAAAACCCGAATCGAGTCGTCCACGGACAACTGGAACAGCCCGTGAAACTTGAGACGACGCTGAACTAAGCCACCGAAGCCAAATCGGGGCGGCCAGGCGAGGACGCCAGCAGGCCTGGGTCGAGTGGGCTGCCTGCGCGGCGCTACGTTGCGCAGAGTGCATGAAGGAGGAGGGGGAGGAGGAGGAGGAGGAGGAGGGGGAGGAGGAGTAGGAGCAGGAGGAGGAGGAGGAGGAGGAGGAGGAGGAGGAGGAGGAGGAAGGAGGAGGGAACTCGCACCAGGGGAAGGCTAAGAATGCTATGGCCTGCATTCGAAACCTTGGCGGGGCGGTCCTCAGGTCCTCCTCGGGCCAGGCTGGGGCGCCGCCTGCGGAGCCGTGCCCACGAGCTGGCTCAGGTCGGGCCGCCTCCGCACGACCTGCTGAAACCTGGCCTGCGCCACGGCTGCGACCGATCGGGCGGCGGCGGGACGAGAACGGATGGCGTGGTAAGCGTTGAAGCAGGCATCGATATACAGCACAATAGATAGCAATGCGGTGTCAGGCAAGGGAAAAGCTTATACATCTGACATCTAGACAAACCATCGGCGAGACAAAATTGGGCAGGAAGATGGGACAGGAAGATAGTAATACAGTCAAGCCTAAGGCATTCTAAAACGTGTTTTAGATGATCGGCCTCAGGGAGGCCACACATCGGGGAGGCCAGAGCGGTCGACTGAAAGCGCCCCGAAGTGCACCAAGCATTGCACATCGTCTTGAGATAAGACGATAAAACCGAAGGCGGAACTTTCTGCGCGGCCCTCAAGAAGGCCAAGATAAAACGCTTGATATCCCAGACAGACACTAGCGGGCCATATTTTCTAGCACGTGCAACTACACAGGCGGTCACATCTGGGTAAAAAAATGACGACGCAGAACCGACTCAGCCTTTTGCTGAAGGGGGGCCGCGTACTGGGGCATGCCAGGAATCGCAGTCATCTCGTCATAGTTATTAATCATAGCTCTCAAGATATTAGTTTTCCACCACGGATGCTCGGTCCAGACGTGGCAACAGTCGTCGTCGTCTTCGAAAGCGCTCAGGTCGTTCCGAATCTCATAAAAGGCCGGCGAGTTAGAAGCTGCACGTTACATGGCCGCGCGGCTGACGAGCGCAAGAGAGCGCGCATCAATAGGAAACCCGAGCTGCGTGAGGCCCATCATCATCTTAGCTGTCACGGCACTGTTAGGACCCATCGTGACCTTCTGGAGCCCAGCCCTCTCAAGCTTCAGGCACCTCTGAGTAATCGGCACCAGCTGACACAGAAAGGTGAGCACAGAGAACGCGATCATGTTATACTGGGCGACAGTTTTGGCGAGTCCTAACCCGAGGCCGTGGATGAGGTTGATGCGGCGGGCGAACTTCTGAAGGGCGGGCTCCCAGGACGCCCAATGCTATCAGGGCCCAGGCGAACCCCGAGGTACTTCCCGCGAGCCTCGAACTTAAGACCAGGAGCTTTCAACCCTAGGACCTCCAGCGCAGCCAGAAAAATCAGCCTTGCGCATACCGAAGAGCACCACGACAGTTTTGTCCAGGTTGGCGCACAGTCCAAACCCAGGGCCAGCCAGGGCCCACGCGCTCATGCTGAGGAAAAAGGCTTTCACGATGTCACCAGGACCGAGGCCGACATCGTCGGCAAAAGGCCCCCAAGGAGTGGGCGGGGCGAGGCAGCAGGAGGCAGATCTTCCGAAGCACTGGGTCCACAGCCAGCGTAAAGAGCGAGCCGCTGGCGGGACAACCTTGCTTGATGCCGCGGGTGAGCCAGTACCCTATGTCCCGATGCATACCGCGATACGATATAGATATCCATACGCCACGACACAGACACCTCAGAGCTTTGATAAAGAAGGCGGGCACTCCCATGGCATCTAGCGTCGCGAACATTGCCTCGTGCAGCAGACTGGGGAGCGCGGCGCGTACATCGTGCAAGATGAGGCCGGCCTTTAAACAATGCCGTTGCAGATGCCAGCGAAGCGCACGATATCCAAGCTCAAGAATATTCTCGTTCATATTCCTCCCACCCACGAACCCCCTCTGCTGCTTGATGCAGGTGTACTGACATATGGCACTCAACGGCTTGTTAAGAGCAAGCGAGATCAGCTCATTCGAGGTGCACGACAAAGTGAGCGGCCTAGTAGCAGAGGGCTTGCGCATACAGAGCTGCTCGCCCCCCTCCTCAACTCCTTTGGCTAAGAAGATATTGCGCCCATGGTAAAAATCCCTGTGACATTCACCCTGATCCAGAAAATGAAGATATAAACGATATAAAGCAGAAGTCCCCGAGGTGCCAGAATTGCTCCAACCGCTAAGGGATCCCGTCGGGGCCTGGGGCGCTATCATGAGCCTTACCCAACATCTTGATCAATTCCTCCTCCTCCAACCTCCAGTGAATGTTGCCAGGAATCTGGGGGGCATCAGTGAGCAGCTCGGACATGGCCGCGGGCTCGGCATCCACGGCTCTGCGCACTTGTCCCCAGTGACGGGCGAGTTCCTTCGCTCCCTCACGAGGGTCGAAAACTGGCGTCCCGAGCGGGTCGGCAATCGCCTGCAGCGAAATACTGGCACCTCGAGTTGTCCAGGCAGAGCGGTAAGTGTATAACGTGTTGACCTTTTGTTGTTTCCGTTGCTGTGACATGTCTGGGCCATTCTGGACAAGCTCGATCTGGCCATCGATCTGCTGCTGTTTCAGCGAGGCCAACAGGTAATGGAAGCCGACAAAGTTCGAGAACCGACAGGACTCGACATCAAAGAACTGCTGGGGCCTGGGGTACGCCTGCACAGCACGCCTCAAGACAGACTGAGACCCAGAAGGTTCGGCCCGCATAGCAGCCAGAGCCCAAGACACATATTCAGGGAGCGAATGAGCCCCACGCTGTTCCAGAATGCCCAAGACCTTCCTGGACGCCGCCTGAATGCCCTCCCGCACCTCCTCCACCGCCTCCAAGGGACTCTCCGAAATCGGACCAGCCCCTTCCAAAAGCTCGCCCAGGACCTCCGGGAACATAGGGTGCTTGGTGACCCAGGACTTGACCGTGAGGTTCCCGTCGGGGCACCTGGGGGCCAACGCCATATGCGCGGGTACGTGATCAGAAAGTGTGCTGGGGTCTGCAGGGCAACCTATGGTACCTGACGACGGCGCGAAGTCGAGCAGCACGCCAGGTGGGATACTATTGTAGATGCGATCCAACCGAGCGAGCGACTTGATGACCGTGCGACCTTCGACCGACTCCTCAACCCTGTGGGAAAACTGTGGCTGCTCAACCTCTGTCAAGAACGGAAACACCTCAATAAAGTGTTTGGCCAACCGGTGAGAAGGATGAATGAGGCGACCTGATAGCTGGCAGCTGCCTTCACCAGCAGCTGGAAAGTTAAAGTCTCCACAGACAAACGCTGAGCACTGCGCCCGAGGCAAAAGAGCATGCCGCACTCGATCCAGCTGCTGTCGCCTACGACGAACCGGGGGCCCAGGGCCACTATGAATATTGACTACTTGTGCAGCGTGAGTGTGATTGCGAAGTAAAGTGCAGTGAAAACGACCGTCGGCAAGGGCGCGATGACGAATATTCGTAAGTACAGCCCGAAGAGTAGGTTTGACATATATAATGCATCCTGCAGAGTGAGGGTTGTCCACAAACGAGGAAAAGCCTTTGAGTTGAAATACTTCCCGCTCTAACGCTCTAAAGCATTCATCCGACCCTCGAGCTTCCTGGATACGCGCTATATCGTGCTGTTGAATCAAGTTGATAACAAACCTGATCTTTGCTTTATGGGCGCGCCGAGGGGCGACGAGGGCACCGAAGAGCGAGCGGGCGTTCCAAGACACTATTGGGAACCGCTGGGCAGGCAGAAAAGGACGGCAATCAGCAACGAAGGCCAGCTGCTGCCAGGACGCGAGGAACCAGACGAGGAGGAGCTGGACGAAGTAGAAGAAGTAGAACTCGCCGATGATGTGCCAGAAGCGCTCGAAGATCAGGAACTCGATGAAGAGGCTGTTGCTCTCCTGCCGCATTGCCGTCGTCGTCGAATTCGAGCTGGAAGCGCACCGTCATCAGGACTGGGCCCAGCAATGTCCTGGTCGTCCGCTGTCGCCAATGTACCCGCTCTCGACAAAGAGGTTCTGGCACCCCCACAGCGATGGACACCCAGGCCAGAGACATGGCCAGATACAGCAGATGATTCCCCTGCCTCTGGTGGTCGGTACCCTCTGCTGTCGGCTGCAGACTGCAGCGCGGACAGTGAGCAGTGCGTATCACCAGGGCTCGCGACATGCATGGTGACGAACGGCCGAGATGGCAAGGCCGCCCCCTGCAGCAAGATGCCGTCGACGGTGTGGGTGATGACTTCGTCGGAGAAGCAAGGCTTCTTGAGCTCGCACGCGGTTGGGAGTAATGTCCATCTGGCCGCTGTCCGCACCCTTCACCTCGAAGAGCTCAACCGTTTCGTCACCTGAAATCAACCAGAGCTTCCCACGGAAACCTTGAGCGCCAAGCTTGTGAGACTCGTGCCACTTGTTCGCGCTGCGGGCGACGTCCATCACTGTGGACCAGAGCACGCCGAGCACACGGCTGGTCTTCCTGATCTTTGGCGGGGCATCCATGCGGATCTTCAAATTGATAGTGGCGAGGTTCGTCGGGTCGGCCCAGGTGACGCCGGGAGTGCGGGCCCTGGTGATGAAGTCCTTCGCGTTGGAGTTCGAGTCGAACATGATACTGTACGCAGATTGGAAATTGTGAACCTTCGGTATGGCCGTGACACCAGCTGGCACATGACGTGTAATCAGGTCCGTCGCGTGCCTGGTCATGACCGTGCCCATCATCGCACGCGGGAAACCCGCGATCCATACCTTGCAGTTGTTCGAGTCCGTGCCATGGCTTGCCGAAGACCCCGCATTCGAGGCCCTGGGCGATGGTGGCTGAGATCGCAGTGCAGCAATTTCTGCCTTCGCCCTGGCTGTGTCCTTCTTCACTTGCTCGATGGAGTCCGTGATCGTGCGCTGGACCTCAGCACTGGCCGCGGCGACGGCTTCGGCCTGACTGGCCTGAGCCTTGAACTCTAAGGTTGCGATGCGATCGCTCATGGCTGCCAGCTGGACGTCGTGCTCCGCCAGCGTGGTCTTGACGCCATGGATGTCCTCCTTCGTGGCCAATGTTGCCTGACCACTCTGAATGTTGGTGAGCATCTCAAAGAGTCGATTCTTGTCTGAACTGTTGGAACCTCCCTTCCCGTCACCTTTCTCCATGGTACGAGGGATCTTGTGGTCACGTCCCTCAGAGCTCGCAGCTTCAGTGATCTCAACGTCATCAGAAGCCATCAGGTTAACTGATTGAAAGAAAGTGTCCTGTGCTGAATCCAGGAAATGCGTTACGCGATGTAATGTGAGTGATGGAAAGAATGCGGATACCCTTGTCCTGGGGGGCCTCTCCAGGGTCTCACTCGCGCGCGGCGGGCAAGGCCACTTGAGTCGGGGGTGTCCTGATATGGCCTTGAACCAAAATGGCTTGAGCCAAAATGGCTTGAGCCAAAGTGGCTACGGAAGGAGGAGGAAGGAGGCGGAGGAGGAGGTGGAAGGAGGAGGAGGAGGAGAAGGAGGAACTCAGGCCAAGGCAGCGGCCCACGGAGGCCGACGATCCTCAGCGCAGCTCCGCCGATTGCGGCGCGCGGGCGACCTTTTCTGGTGGCGCGCCCGTGCAGACGGCCTCAGGGTGCCCAGGCGCGGTTCTGCTGCTGCTGCGGAGGCCCGGCGACGGCGCGGGGGCTCACCAGGGCCATCTGCCTTTTGGGACGCAGAAGGACGTACTAATCACTCATACTATGTGTCCTCCTTGGAGGCGTGCGTCCGGCCAAATCATACAATCGAGCCCCCCTATGGCACATCGTTAGTTACCCCAGCGGTGTGGCCAGCAAGTGCACGCCACCGACGCACACATTCGGCGGCCAGCCCGGGGGGGAGGTGAGAGGGGGCGGGCCTTCTTAGAAGGTTCGGAAGTCCCCTGGCCTTCTGACAAATTCTCTGAGCCTTCCCCGAAGTCACAGAAAACTTCTCAGAAGGATAGAGGGCTTCTGAGAAACCCCGCCACCTTCTGAGAAGGCCTGCTTCGGGGATCTACTGACCTGGGTGAATCCAGACCCGGGTCAATCACTCTTTGCAGGATTCTGCAAGATCCTGCAGGATCCTGCTGGATCCTGCACCCCTGGATCCTGCACCCAAGCCGGGGTCAGTGCACCCCTGGCTCTGCAGGATCCTGCAAGATCCGGCGCTCTGACTGACCCCCGTTTGCATTGACGCCTGTCTCTTGAGCCCCGACTGCTCCTTTTCACTTCCCCTCCAGGCTCGCCGCCGACGCATAGTATGAGCGTGTCTGGGTGAAGCCCTCTGCCTGAACAGGGCGCCCGCCGTGCATGGGTGAGCCTGGCACTGCGGCGGCGGCGGGGCCAGAGCCTTTCTGGAGGCCTCCCTGGGGTCGGAGCAGACGGGGTAGGAGGATCGCGCCACATCGCCGATGCATCGCTGATGCAGCGGCGATACACCAGCGACGAAGCAACGGCGTGGAGACGATCAGGCTCCACATCGAGCCTCATCGCCGATGCATCGGCGATCCTCCGACCCATCTACTCGGGCCCCGTTGTAGCGACGGGCAGAAACGGGCCTTACGAAAGATAGCGCAGCGACCTTACGCCGCGGCTTTCGCGGTCCGCCAACGCGGCACGCCACACTGGAGACGAGGGCGTTTACGTACGACCTTATGCGGGCAGCTTACGCGCCAATGTCGGTGAAGGCGACCCCGTTTTGCTGCGTCGCTCATTCGGGAGGTCTCGAGCCATATCGCGTGGCGGAGCGCACCAATATGCACGGGACGTCCTGCAGGATGCGCGGGGCGTCCTGCTGGGAGGATTGGCAGAGCACCCTCTGGCAGAACTCCCTTTCGTGAAAGCCGCCAGGGGCACTCCACGTGCGCACGGACCGCATTCCGATTGGACCCAGGCGGGGCACGGCCGGGAACTTGTGCTTAGCGTGTGGCTGCGGCGGCCCAAGCGACGCGCTATGCCCTGCGAGCGGATAGCGTGTCGCTCCCCTCCGCGGGGCGGGAGGCACGGGAAAGCTCGGGACTTTGACGCATGGGGACCGCGAAGTGGATAAGTAGCGTGTCGCGCCGAAGCGTGGTGGGCAAGAACCGGCGGAAAGATACGCCTTTCAAAAGTTCCCGACCGTAAGATACCGAGCTACAAAAACAAGCGAATGTATTCGCCAAAACGCACTTCGATCAGTGAAACCGACCGGGGACTGCAATGGTACACTCGCATGCCGAGGTCGAGTGAACCGGTGCAGCTTTCCTCAGCCGACTTGTCTGGGAGGGCATCCAGCCAATCTGAACTGGTTTGGACCTTAGAAAATGGCCTGGGAAGGGGGGTGACTCCAAATACACTGAAAATCTGTCCCTGAACCTCTCCAGGGGTCCACCTGGTTATTTTTATTACCCAGCTTCGTTTTCGACGGTCCCCGGGCCCGAAGACGGCCCCCACGGAGCCTTCCCGAATCCATCATGGAGCCATCCCGAATCCTGCTCGCCGGAGCCAGTGCTGGGCCACATCAGACCCCTAGCCGGCTCCGACTCCCAATGCCCGAATCCTCGAGGGACCGTCGGGCGCTATGCCGCCGCCGTGCGGCACGAACTGGAAGCCCGGCGTGCCGTCGCCGCGGTCCACCACCCGCGCGCCGCTGCCCAGGAGCGCCGCGAGGCCAGGGTGCTTGGGCTGCCTGCCCAGCGGCGCTGGGCTCGACGGTGGTGCCATGGGCGGCGGTGCCTGCGGTTGCTGCCTCTCTCCTGGCGCCTGGAACCCCGACGAAGTCCCTCTTGGGCTCTTCGACCGTGCATTCACCTGTGGTCCCTCGGGCGGGCAGGGCGACGTTGCCCGAGCTCGCTGTCGTTCTATTGGCGCCTGGGGCCCCGACGAAAGCTGGGTGGGGGTCTGCGACCGCACCCTTGCTTGTGACTCCTCGGGCGGGCTGGGCGACATCGCCCGCGCACGCTGCCGTTCTACGGGCGCCTGGGGCCCCGACGACATCCTGCTCGGGCTCCGCGTCTGCACCCTCACCTGTGGCCCCTCGGGCGGGCTGGGCGACATCGCCCGCGCTCGCTGCCGCTCTACTGGCGCCTGGCGCCCCGACGACATCCTGCTCGGGCTCTGCGTCTGCACCCTTACTTGTGGCCCCTCGGGCTGGTTGGGCGACATCGCTGGCTCTCGCTGCCTTTCTGCTGGCGCCGTGGGTCCCGACGAGGTTCCGCTCGGGCTCTGCGTCTGCACCCTTACTTGTGGCTTCTCTGGCGGGCTGGGCGACATCCCCCGCGCTGGCTGCCTGTCTAACAAGGACTGGAGCCCCGACGGCATCGGGCTCGGACTCTGCGCCCGCACCCGAACTTGTGGCCCCTCGGGCGACATCACCTGCGCTCGCTGCCTTTCTACTACTGGCGCCTGGGGCCCCGACGTCGTCCTGCTGGGGCTCCGCGGCCGCATCCTCACCTGTGGCCCCTCGGGTGCGGTAGGCCACGCCGCCAGAGGCGGCGCAGGCTGCGGCCCCAGGCACGGCGCAGTGGAGATCTCTGGCAACGTCTGGGGGTCAAGGTCCGGGGCGGGATGGTGGATGACTGCAGCTGGCTGGCCGAGCGGAAGTGGTAGGCGCTGCGCCTGCGGCCTCTGGGGCCCGCCAGCGGGCAGCGCTGCAGACAACTTCGCCGCTGGGCCCCGCCACTGTGGCTCGGGGATGCGAAGCTGGCCAGGCGGAGGCCCCGTCGCGAGTGGCCCACATGGAGGCGCCCCTGGGGCTCGCTGCGGCGCCTCGGCGCGCGCGCAGGCTAGCGTCGGTACGGAGCCCACGGGCGCCAAGGAGGTGCGCTGCCGCTGCGGCGGCGAGGCGCGCTCGCTGTGCCGCCGCGCCGTGGAGCCACGCGCGCTGGCCATCGGCGACACGGCGCCCCGCGCACCGGCCAGCGGCGAGGCGGACCGCATCGCCATCAACGCGCCCGGCGCCGGCAAAGGCAGCCGAGCCAGCGACGACGATCCATGAAGCGGGCCGAGCGCCGCTGCGTGTGCTGGTATGGCGACACTTGGGCCCGCCGGCGGCCTGGGGGGCAGCGCCATGGAGCCGTGGTGCACGAGTGGCGCGCCGGGGAGCGGGCGTCCCTGGAAGAGAGCATGGGCAGGCTGCCGCGACACTGGTAAGCTCGCGGGCACTCCGTGCTGGCGTACCGCTCTCTGCAGGGTCTGCTGCCACTGCGCAGCAGGCGAGGCCGAAACCGACGACCCCTCCGCAGCGGGCGAGATCGCTGCGGGCGGGCTCGCCGCGGGCGATGTCGCCGTGGGCGACGTCGGCTGTGTCTCCCCCGCGGCTGACCCCTGCCATCTGCACGGGCTGGACCTCTCCTTTGCGAGCAGCTCCGCGGTGGCCAGCAGCGGGGCCCCCCCGCGCAGCCAGGGATGGCGCAGGGCCTCGGCCACACTCGTGCGCAGGAGCGGATCCGGCTGCACCAGGCCGAGTATGAAGTCCCTGGGGCCCGGAGGGCAGTCGCGATCTGGCCCGTCGAACAGCGACTGGACATCGCGAGCCCTCAAGGCGTGCCAGTACGGATCCTCTGCCTCGGGGTCGCAGGTGGCGAGGAGGGGCTGCCCTGTCAGAAGCGTGAACGCGCACCAGCCGAGACACCAAGCGTCCACCTTGGTGGCCAAATAGGGCTTGCGCCGGTACAGCTCTGGGGGCCGGAACGCCTTGCCCACCAATCCACCGAAGGGCACCGGCAGCTCCTCTCCGCCCACGCCGCGCTGGAACAAGGCGGCGTGCCCTGGGTCGCAGATCCTCACCTGGAGGGTCTCGGAGTCCAGGTCCACGTGGAGGAGCATGTTCGGAGGAACGAACAGCGACGCAAGCAGAAACTTTCGGGGGCCCTCGCGGACCTCTTGGATCGGTGCTGGACACCCCCGGCGACGCCTCCGGCGCAGCCCCTGGCGCGCTTCGTGCGCCAGAGAGTGGGGTGCCGTTCCGAGAAACCCGTGCGCACCTCCGCAGGAGGGCGCCAACAATACACCTCCATCGATCCTGGCCATGCCAATCCCGTGCCCAGAATCGGTGCGTGTGTTTGTGTGTGTGTGTATGTGCGCGTGCGTCAAGCTACACATGACACGGTTGATCCCCCTCGGGTGGGTCCCTGTCCCTGGCTTTTGAAAGGGGCCGGCCGCGCGCGTTTCCCACTTTCCGCTCTTCGACCTTCTACGCCTCGACGCTGCGCGCGAGGCCGCGACGCCAAAACGTGAGTATACGCCATCCTGGTTGGCCAGGAAATATGTGCACCGATTCTGGGCCCAAGATCTGACTGGTGTACGCAGGCATCCGACGTCGTGACTACTGTCACAGCGTGGCTCCCCAACGGTCTACACTTGTCATCCGGAATAAGTCTTCCACGGTCCTGGAGGTCGTCTAAGAACGGTCTGTGTTCTTTCGCGACGCGACGAAGTCTGGGTAGATACCCTGCGACCTGACGTCACGAAACAATACAACACCGTAGTAATCACGACCAGAGCCCAGACCCGATCTTTCTGATGCAATTTGCGATATGGGCCGATTCGCGAGGGTCCCATGGCCCGAAATAGAACGAGACTGCCAGGTGTGCCAAAATAACGACGCCAAGATCTCAAGGTACGTAGACAGCTGACGCCATGCGACTACGGAAGCTCGCGCCCCGACATGCGATGTTGTCACGCTTTTCATGTGGGATCCCCAGAAATCCAAACCCCTGTGTCCCAGGGCCGGTTCTTCATTCCGAATCGGTTTGTCGGACGGCAGGGTCGAATAGATCGGGGGGGAGCAATGCGTACATCCAGGGGCGCCGACGGCCCATGCCAGTGGCGAGGCTCCCAGAGGGATGCGTGTAATGCCCGCCCCTGGGCTACTCGCCCCCGTCGTCGCCTCCGAGAGCTTTTGACGGCCCCAGGGCCCGCCGAGGGCCGCTCCCGGAGGCCCACCGCGGCCCAAATACCGTCCGAGGCGTTCTTCTTTCCACGGCACAATCGTCATGTCTGGGAACGCGCTGTGCGTCCGCCAGCGCCGCGACTGCGGTAGGTTCGTGCCGTGCCGACGCCGCTGCGAAACCAGCGCGGGCGTTCTGGTTGAGCAGGGCTTGACTGTCCCGGCATTCCCAGAGGCCCACCACGACATGTTCTCTGAGCAAAACAATGCCTGGACTATGAAAGCAAGGTTGTCAGAACAAAGAACTGGCTGATCAAAGCAAGACCGTCTGAGTCAGAAATGCTCAAAGAACATGTCGTGCATATGCAAGTCGAGCACCTTCGCCACTGTTGAATCAACATTGAACGCAACCAATAACGCCGAATCAACCAATACGGGTCGATCTGCGCTCCCGGAAAGTAACGAGCGGACAACGCACACCCATACTCATTGCGGCGCTGACCCGCGCCTCTAAATCTGAGGCTGCGCTATATGTATGGATGCGGGTTATCTCATCCCGAGAAGGGCCCCCGTTAGAGCGGGGACCACATCCGACAACACGCGCCCGCAACCCTTCCAGAAATCCACCCCAACAAATTTGGGGGTCGTATACCAATTCGCCGGCCCAACGGGCCAGAGGCGTGCTAAGATCTCCGGTAACTACTTAACGATATTTCTAGTTCGCGCGCGCGGGGCGGCCCCTGGGGGGGCCCGGACGAAAAGTACCGCCACCGATCCCCGGCTGGGTCCCGGGCGATCCCCAGGGGGGAGGCAATTTTTCGCCACCCCTCAAGAGGATCGTGGCCTCCGAGGGGGGGGGGGCTGCAATTGACAACCCCCCCCGCCCCAAGGGCCCCCTTAGAGCCCCCCAAGAGGCCCCAGGGGAGCCCAATGCGCCGCCAAGGAGCCCCAAGACGCTCCCCCAAACTCCCCAAGAAGCTCCCAAGACGGCCCCAAAAAGCGCCAAATAGCGCTCCAGGGCTGGCGGAATGAGCGAAGCGATTAAATAAATCATTGGCGGGGATGGTTTCCAAAGGGATTCTGACAAGCTTCGGTCATTGTGGGGGGGCGGGGGGGGCGAACCACGAGCAAACCCTGGACTTTCTAGTGCTGGTTGTCAGCTTATGAACTCATGCAAAACTCGTGCCCGCGCCGTCGTTCTCCTCCCTCCGAGCTGTTCTCCAGGGAAACGTCTTGCATCGCCAGGCCTCGCCCGTGCAAAAAGGCCAGCCCGGCAGCGGCCTGCTGCACCAGGCTCTTGACGTGCGCTTCCTCCGGGGCGGTGACATCTGTAGACACATCTGCCGCCCCTCGGTCCTTCTGCGTCAACTCACGGGGACCTCCCATGCAATGTTGATGGCCTTTGCGACGTAAGTCTGGCCGACGTTGATCGACGCTAAATCGACGTTGCTCGACGATCAACGGGTTTTTCCTCATCGACTACCAAACGCTGATCGACTCTAGCGCGACCGAATGATTGAGTTACGAGGGTATACAAGACTCACATGACTTGCGGTCGACCGATATCCAGGCATGGTCGCGTCGTACACCAACGACGGATAGTTTTGGCCGCATTCGGCTCCTTCGGTTTTTGGCCATTCTCGTCCGTCCTGGCCCTCCTTTTCCCCTCCTCTTCCACCCTCTCCTGATCATCCTCCACCTCGGCCCCTTCCCCTCCTCAATGATAGTGCCGGACGCTTGTGCTAGACGTGTCCGGCGGCGGCCCTGGCGACACGCCATGCCCTGCAAGCGGATAGCCCGTCGCTCCGCTCCGCGGGGCGAGAAATTGGGGAGATCGCACCAGTTCGGGCGGGTGTCCGCCTCGGCGCGCGGGGAAATAGCGCCCACCGCGCCCACCTCATGTGGCGGGAGGTGCCGCTTGTGCGAGGAGCTGGAGATCCCCATGCCCCTGGCGCAAATCTGTGAGGACCACAATCAGAAAACAATGACGGGATGTGGTGACATGGGCGAGACTCGCCCCTCTTGCACGCCCGGGAACAGAGAAGCACCGGCTTCACACAAGCTCTGGCATGCGTGATCGGGCGCCCCGACAGAGAAGGCGCCACTTTGGGGCAACCCCCGCGGAAGCCCAGCGCTAGAGCTACGGAAAAGCTGCCAGCAACTCACGCAGCGCACACAGATAATGCAGAAGTAAACGCTGGGTCAGCATCGAAGCGCGCCTGGTTGCTGACCTGGGGAGCGACCCCGAAGCCAAAATGCGATCGGGCTAATAAGAGCCAATCGGTCTGTGTTTTGGGGGATCTGTCAAGAAGGGCTGTTCCTGAATGCCACGCTGCTGATGACGCTGATGACAGTGCCTGTTAGCACACTGACGCATCGTCGTAAAGCTGACAATACGGGCAGTCCCGCACTCGGGGTCGGCAGATTGACTGACGGCCGCGAGGCGTTGCATGTCGCGTCTCCGTTCCGTGGCCTGCGCCCAGGTAGGTGATGCTGAAGCCGCGATGCCGTGGTGCCTTCGCCCTGGTCCCGTCGCCTCCAACTGGGTTGGATGTGCTGGTCTCGGGTGGCTGGGCTGCCTTGGCGCGAGCCGAACACGTTCTTTGGCTGCCTCATCCTCGCCGGGTGGCGGGCGGGCGGGCAGGCTGCGCTGGCGTTGGCCTCGCTCGGTCGGACTGGCGGAATGCGTTGCGTTGAAGGCCCGGGCGCGCAGCGGCGCTCTCAAGCCCGTGGGGTCGCGGCGACTTCACTGGTCCTCCAGGGGGCCCGGTCGGCGACTTCGCAAAGTTCGGCGCGGTCGAGCCCCCGTGTAGCCTGCGGCGTGGTCGGCCTGGCACCCTGCGCGGCTTCCCGACGGCCCTCCGCGCCCCGGGGGCGCCCCGCGCCGCCCCGTCGCACTCTCGCCGCGGTGGCGGGAAACACGCCGACCAGACGCACTTTTCGACATGCCGAACCGTCCCGCGATCGTCTCGCTCGTGGATGTGCGACTGTTTGTCACGTGGGTGCTGCTGGATGTCGCGCTGCAAGTAACGCTGCTCGTCGCAGTCGTGGGTGCGAGGCTGCTGTTGCCCAGGCGCGCGAACCCTGGTGGCCTGGCCATGTGCCGCGTTGCGCTGCTCGCCAAGCACGCGAATGTGAAAGCGTGGATGCTGGCCCCCGCCGCGCTGTTGGACGCCACGGCCCCCCGCCCCCTGGCACTGCTCGGCGTCGAGACAAATGCAACATAAGTGCTGCTGAAAGACGCGGTGGTGCTGGGCCCCGCAGCGCTGCCCAGCGTCGTGGAACTCGCCTCCGTAGCGTTGCTCAGTGTTGAGGTACTAATCGCAGACGTGCTGCTGACGGACGTGATGGTCGATGCACCCCTCATCTCACTCGCAGGGGCAGAACGGCGGAACTGTTAAAGCTTGCTCCCCCCGCGTGACCCGTCGCTGTAGTGGTCGATTTCGTCGTGCTCCGCGGTGTCGCTATGGTCCTGGACGCGCTGCTCGAAGGGCTTCGGCTCGTTGCGAAGCTCGTCTCGCTCATGTGGGGCTGCTGATGCTGATCGCCACCTTGATGCGCAACGCCGTGATGTTGTTCCACTGTGGTGCTCTGTGTCGAGGTGCTGGTCCCAGCCTTGCTACTGGGAGGCGTGGCGCTCGCTGTGCTGCTCGTCCGACTCATAAGTCCGAAGCTTTTGGTACTGGACCGCATCGTACTGCTCAGCTTCGTCGCATTCATCTCCGTCACGTTTTTGTGCCACGAGGTACAATTCACCGTCGCGTTGCGGCAAGCTGCGGTGTTTCAGCAGTGCTCGTCTCGATCATGGGCGTGAAACTGCTGCTGCGTCCTGTGGTCGCGCATGTCGCGATGGTGTTCGCCTCTTTCGCGCTGCCCTGTGACGTGGAGACGGTTCATGACGTCCTGCTCTAAGACATGGTGCTCGTTTCGCTGCTGGTGCCACTCGTCGACGTGGGCGTGCGTGTGCTGGGTCCAATCGAATTGCTCTACAACGTGGCTTTCAGCCCCGTCGGGTCGCACGGTGCCCGCGCTTTTCCAGACGTCCTGGTCAAAAGCGACATGCTTCGCGCACCTCACGCCTCGCTCGTCGGTGCGAGGCTGCTGGTGGTGGGTCCGGTTTTTTGGCATGCTACGTCATGATGCTTGGTCTCTCGTGCAGCTCCGCGTCGAGGTTCTGGTCCCTGGCGCGTTGCTGACTGACGCGGCGGCTGCTGCGCTGGTCGTCTCACTCGTAGATGCGAGGATCGCGGTGCTCAGCTCCGTCGCGCTTCTCGGCGCCGAGGCGCATGGTGTTCCACGCTATGATCGCCCCGCTACTGGCCCCGTAGAACTGCCCGTAGTGGTGGTTCTCGACTCCGTCGTGCTGCGCTGTCTTAGTGCTAGTGGCGTGGGTGCGGCTGGTGGGCGCGCTGCTCGTAGCTCTGGTCATCGCAGTCGTGAGTGCGAGGCTGCTGGTGCCCATGTGCGCCAGCCCGGGTGGGCTGTCCATGGGCCTCATTGCGCTGCCAGTCACGCTCGTGAATGGCAGGGTGTTTGTGATGGTGCTTTTCTCGCTGTCCTACGTTGTGGCGCGCCGTCCTACTGCGCCGATCGGCGTCGAGTGGCTGGTGGCGGACGCGCTGCTGAAAGGCGCGATGATGCTGGGTTCCGACATGCTTCTCATCATCGTGGCACTCAACTCCGTCGCGTTGCACTGGGGCACTGGCGACGGGCGCGCTGCTGGGCCTGCTGGGCGCGGTGGTGCTGGATGCCGCCGCGCTGCCCAGCGCCGCGGCACTCGGCGCCGTCGCGTTGCTCCGCGTCGAAGTACTGGTCGCAAAAGCGGAAAGACGCGGCGTTCGATGCGCCGCCCCTCTCGCCTGTAGGCGCGAGGCTGCCGGCGCCGTCTCTCGTCTTGCTACGCGACGTTTAAATGTTTGCCCCTGTCGCGCAAAACGGCGCTGCGATTGTCCTGGGCGCGCTGCTCCAAGCCGTTATGCTCGCGGCGCTGCTCGCCTCCCTCCGGCGCTTGCTCCCGTCGCGCCACTCTGGGCTCTGGGCCGGGGCGCCTGTCCCTGGCGACCTGCTCGAGGACGCGGTGCTCTTCGCACTGCTCGCGCCCCTCTGAAAAAGGAGGCGTGTGGTGATGGGCCCCGCCGTGCTACTCCGTCTCGTTCCCCGTCGAGGCGCCGGTCAAGGCCGCGTCGCCGTTAGCCGTGCTGTTCGACGTGCTGCTCGCCCTAGTCGATCGTGAACGTGCGCCTGCTGGGCCCAGGGCAGATCGCGCTTTTCGACGTCGCGGCGCGCTATGTCGAAGTGCTGCGCGGCGCCGCGACGGCCCCGCATGCGCCGCTCACTTCCGTTGTGCTCGTTGCGCTGCTCGTCTCGCTCGTGAGTGCGCAACTGCCAGCGCGGGGCCCCGTCGCGGAGCGCAGCGTTGCTTGATGCCGTGGGGCAGTCCACTGCCGAGGTCTGGGCCCCTGGCGCGCTGCTCGCAAACGCGGCGCTCGTCGCGCTGCTCGTCTCACTCGTGAACGCGAGGCCGTCGGCGCCGAGCTCCGTCGCGCCGCGCAATGAAGCGGGGCGCCGCGCGTGCTGCGCAGACACTCGACGCTCGCTGCGCCGTCTGCCACAGTCGCGGGCGCGAGCCCTGGCGGGCGGGCCGCGACAGCGAGGGCAGGGTCATGCGAGGGAAATGCTCGCCCTGATCGCGACTCCCCTTGCCCCGGCGGGCTCGCTTCATTGATCGCGCGAGCCGAGGGCAGCTGAGGCGGGAAATAAGGGGCTCGAGACATCTGCGCGACTCGACGCCGAGCGCGCGAATCAGCCGAACTCGCGGTCCGAAGGGGCCGCCCTGCTTAGCGCCGAACGACACTTGAAAGTAAAATCCCTCCGCCCGAGTGGAACCCCCAGCGCGCCCGCGGCGCAATCTGGGCGCGAGGGCTGCCGGGGGGCTCCGCGTCAAAAGGAATGTGCTGAGCAACGCTCCTAAACGTCCAATAACATTCAGACATCTCCAGGACTCGGCCAGACACCCAGCGGGGCCTTGCAGAATGACGCAAACACCAGTGCATCCAAGAAAGACTAGACACGGCCAAACTGAAACACGGCAGAACGCGCGACAAGCCCCAAGATGGGCCCGACCACCCCCAAAGCCAGCCCCCCAGGCCCGCGGAGAGCCACCAGGGCACGCCCCACGCAAAGGCGCCGCCAAGACCCGCGACAGGTGGAATGAAACGCGCTGATGTCGTGGCCGACCCAAAGCCAAGAATCTCCCATTTCACCGACATGGGCTGGCGCAGGCCCGCCCCAGGAGGCGGGCGCCCCGACGC